CGGTTTGATCTCGACACTTTCAGCTCGCGTTTGAACGAATATTTTCCGACTTTCCGTTCTGGAGATCATTCCAACAGAAAATGACAACTTTCGATGCGTATGTCGAGAAAGAAAGACTAGATGGCATCTCGACTTCGTCGAGAATGCGAAATAAGGTGCGAAGCACGAATATCGACTGTCTGGAATAATCGAGTTTCCGACTAAAATGAATAATCGACTCTAGGATCAATGACAAATGGTGTTTCTCATCAAGTTGTTTACGTTCTATCAAAACCAAACGTTTTCCTCGGTCGTTCTGAATCGAAAAAGTTGCCTTTGCATCAATCAGCTGATCAAAATCTGACATAAGCTGAAAAGTAGCCATTGTAAAATTCATCACTACAAAGACTTTATCAACGCGTATCAACATCTTTCCAAAGAACATTGTCGATCGATCGTTTAATTACGTATATGATTCATTATCTATCATCAACTGTACAGCTGTTTTATATATGAGCAAAGAGAGTGGCGGCTAACATTTGTTTTAATTATCTCGAAGCTTAAAGAAAAACCAAAGTCATGAAAAATTTCTCTTTTTTGGCCACTATTTATATTCGAACGGGATATCATAACGAAAATTGAAAAAAAGGAGGTTTCACTTCGATATCGATACTTTCATCTGACGCTTGAACGATGATTTTCTGACTTTCGGTTCTCAAGATCACTGCGACACAAAATGTGAAATAAATGTGCGTATGTCTAGTAACAAAAAAATAAACTAGATGGCATCTCGACTCCGTCGAGAATGCGAAATAAGGTGCGAAGCACGAATATCGATTATTCGGAAAAATCGAAATTTCAGAAAAAACGAATAATCGACTTTAGGATCCATGACGAATCATGTTTCTCGTCAAGTTGTGTACGTTGTATTAAAAGCAGACATTTCTCTCGGTCGTTCTCAATCGAAAAAGTTCCCTTTCCATCACTCACCTGATCAAAATGTGACACAAGCTGGAAAGTAGCCATTGTAAAATTCCTCACTACAAAGACTTCATCAACGCCCATCAACATTTTCTAAAGAACATTGTCGATTGATCGTTTAATTATCTATATGATTCATTATCTATCATCAGCTGGACTTACAGCTGTTTAATATATGAGTAAACACAGTGGCGCCTAACTTTCGTTTTAATTATCTCGAAGCTTCAAAAAAAAATCAAAGTCCTGAAAATTTTCTCTTTTTTGGACTCTATTTATATTCCAACGGGACATCATAACGAAAATTGAAAAAAAGGAGGTTTCACTTCGATCTCCATACTTTCAGCTAACGCTTGGACGAAGATTTTCTGACTTTCAGTTCTCAAGATCACTGCGACACAAAATGTGAAATAAATGTGCGTATGTCTAGTAAGAAATAAATAAACTAGATGGTATTCGAGTTTCGACTCGAATACGAAATTAGGTGCGAAGCACGAATCCCTGGAATTTTCGAAAAAACGATGTTCCGTAGAAAACAAAAACTCGGTTGTCGAGTTAATAGGAATTGTCATTTGTAGTTGAATTGTGTACATATCACCGAGCATAGACACTTCTCTGCATCCTTCGGATCCAAAAGATTACTTTCTCATGTGTCAGTTGATACAAGTCTTGAGAAAATTGAAAAGTACCATAATAAAATTCATCGCCAGGAGAATTCTATGAAAGCCTATGAACATTTTTCTGAAGGACAATTTCGATTGATCGTTTATTTATCTATATGATTCATTATCTACATACAGCTGTGATTTCAGCTGTTTGAAATAGGAAAAAAGACAATGACGCCTAACTTTTTTCTTCGTTTTTGTTTTTCCTTTTTTTTTATTTAAATACTTGAGATGTTCTACAAAGTCTGGTCAGTTTTCAGAAAAAAATAAATAAATTCTTTATTAAAATATTTTTGAAAAATTTCTTATTTGGATGACTGATATTATCAATTGAATAAAAGAACGAAGATTATTGATGATTTTCTTTTTTTTAGTAGATAATGATTTTTGAATGAACTAAGTTAAACAAATATTTATTCATTGGTCAATAAAATCGATTTGAGAAGGAACAAATCCAAATTGAGATAGATATTAATATGATTAAATTTTCGTTGCAATAGTCTGTCAACGAACGAACAGAGGGATCTATGATTTCATCTCTTTGATTTATTAATGTAGGTTTTTTCATTTAAGTCAATGAGAATAAGTTCTATATATTATTAAAAAAAAAGGAGGAAAATATCAAATAATCATGATGAATCCGTTGAACTATTATATTCAAAATTATGTTTGGATTTAAATATGGATATGAAAACAAATTTAGACATATGGTATTCATATGAACATGTTCTTAAACATTATATATTAGAAGGAAATCAAATTACATTGGTTAGCTGTATCGTTAGATGTATTATTTAGACGATATTGTTATATAATAAGAAATGATAATAATTCAATATTAGTACCACGTTTATTAAAGTGCCAATCGTTTGTAATTAATTGTTTTTTTATAAATTAGATAAATGGGAAAGCATGGCCAATTCACCTGAATCAACCCGATCAAAAAATTGATTAAGTTGAACATGCATTTGATATATCATCAATGATATTTGAAAAATATACAAATATATTTGTTGAATTATCTAATGGATATCAATATAACTTAATTTATTCTGATTATCAATACAAAAGAACATCAAATCAAATAGATTCTAATTTAAATTCGAAAATATGAATTAAGTAAATATTCACATTAAGAATTATATTCGCTCATTTGGCGAATATATGCACTAGCTACATCTGTTTATCTATATACTATAAATGATCTTATTGGTTTATTTCATCTACTTGTTTCTTCTTTTTCTTTTATTTATGATTATCTTAAATAAGCTCAATTAGATTAGTTAGTTACAGATGAACATTTATTAAAAGGACGTATTTCTTTAATTTTATTTATGCTCGTTATAAATATATATTATTTTAATCGACTCTGCTTTATCTTAATTAACAATGAAGTATCATATGCATTTTTTTTCAATGTATTTATTTATTTGTCACTTCTTGTCAAATCAAGATTGTGCACAAGTTTTTTTTATTATTTTATATAGATTTAAAAAGTTTTATGTTTCCAAATAACACATTATTTACTTTAAAAAACTCGTTACAATTTTTTAAAATGAAAATTGATTTTAATATATTTAATTGATTTTTATTCAAAAAAAAAATATCTGAGATAAATATGAAACAAATTCAATTGTATTAGCTCAGTATAGAATTGAATTAAATTAGTTTTTTTTTATTAAGAGACTTATGAATCCATTATTAAATAAAAATCATTCCGAATGTTTTTTTTAAACACACTTCGATCGTTTCAGGAAATAAAAAGAAAAATTTTGTTTTTTTTAATGTGATTATGGATCGATGAAAATGTAAATGATCAGCATATCGTTAATGATTATTTCACGTAATGATTGACAACTCAATTGGTGTCAGTTCAAATGATTTAAACAATTAATAGTCATCTTTATGAACAACGGACTTATCATCATTTCTAAATAATATAACTAAGAATAGGATATTCAAATAATGATTATATTTATGTTTAAATATATGCTCTCGGTATACAGATTTAAATATAAATTAAATCTGATTATAATTATCATGAATAATAATCAGTGTTTGATAGGTAAGCTATTGAAATATTAGTTTTACTTCGTTAGAAATAGATCTCTAAAATAAATGACTTATTTTAATTTATTAAATAGAATTAAATAAGGATATATTTATATTTGACTCTAAATATCATCATATCAAAGGAATTCTTCAATTTATTCTTCTTTCTTCTTTTTAATTAAATTATGAAAAACAGTCGTTAAAAGCATGACAAACGAACTTAAAATTTTCATAATTGAGTATATATATATATATATATTTCAGGTTTCTCATTATGCTAGTAATCCCTACTTCGTTCCCAACAATATTGAAATTTAATCAACTAATTGAATTATTTATTCGAAAGAATAAATAATAGTTAGAATATTAGTCGCTCTACATATCACCGAAGTTAGTGCTCGCAATCTATGTCATGGTTCTAAGATTATCAAGGATGTTTCTCAATAAGGGATGTTTTAAACATAATTTTTGTTTTATCAGTCGTTTTTATACGTTGGTTTTTTCATTTAGCGAAAGTTTTTTTTTAATGTGATTCCAATAAATTATTTGATTACGTTAGTTGTTAGTATAGAAAGCATTTAAATTTATATGCATTAATATTTAATCAATTTATTCCTAAACGTAGTTGTGATGGTGAGTTATATGGATAGATAATTTTTTGGGGAGGCAGATTCAAATAAATAGAAATGTGAGAAGGATAGAAAATTTTTGGACATAAACAAATTATTAGTATATGTTAAAGAACAAAATTCGTTTTTGAAATAATGAACAATACTTGTAATATGAAATTAAGCTTGTACGCTACATTTTTTATCTATTTTATTGTTAAAATCATTTCTTTGTGTTATCGATATATTATTGCTTCGTCGAACATCATTTATAACAGAATAATGATTTTGGTTTCAGTAAGACAGAAAGAACACGAGAATCATCTTACAGACAATTGCAGCATCTACATCAGTTATTTGGTTTGATGTTGTATCCATCAAATCAGAAAATGTATTTAAGGAAATGATTAATTTGATATACTATCTGAAAGACAATAAGATCAATGATATTGTTAACAATTTTTTTTAATTTAATTTATTATAAATTATAATGAACTACACAAATGCTTGATGAACATTAGCAAAACATCAAATAAATGATAAATAATTAAAGAACATTGATAATCAATCAAATTTTTGTTCTTGATAGAGTTATTGAATGAAATCTGTTTGACATTGGAACGAAAATTTTTTTTTCTAATATTAGAATGATTTATTTTAAACATAAACTTACGAAATCAAAGTAGAATTGTTTCGTTCAATCATATTTATTTTTTTCTTAAGGTATCGAGATGGTGATGAGTTCTTTGCATAATACGCTGTATTCAAAACGTAAACTAATATCCGAAAGTAAAGCCATCGCAATTTCTGTATCACTCGCTGTGACTAAAAGGCCAACATGGATCAGAAGTTGTTCCAGAATACGACCGCCAACCCAAAGAACAATTTTTTCTTCACCTAAATTACATTATGATCAAATAAAAAATAGTAGAAATTTTTTGTTCAACAATCCAACAATATCCTCATTTTTAACTAACCATCTTTGATTGCTATTGTGGTGGAAATATTGTGAGCAATATTTTTCTTTAAACTATGACGTTGACATTTTTGACAATAGACTAAAGCAGCAGCACCATTCACATCCGTCAAATCACCTTTGCAAGTTGAGCATCCGTTTGATCGTGTAATGGTGCCAACTTCTTCGATTGACGAGATGATAGTTTTTTTATCTGATAAATCGATAGCAAGTGTTGTTGTCACTTCACTGACATCAGCAGTAACTGGCTAAAATAACGTAAAAAATATGATAGCTAATTTTAAGTAAAAAGATATGCGCGTTTATTTACAATGCTTGATGATGAGATGTTCGTGTTGATTGTCGTGCTCAGAATCGGCACACCATTGAACATTTTTCGACGTACATGGGTTAAATCATAACTGTGTTCTGTTAAGAATGTATTTGGAGCTAAATCAGTTGTCGCCAAATAAGCTGTACCACTTTCATCACCTATTAAAATGAATGTGTTCGTATGAACAATACCTTGTCGATCAAAATTTTCAGTTGGACGAATATTGATGATGAAAACCCGTATAAGAACAAGGTTCAATGGACATAAGTGCATTCCGAATAGATAAAAGATTGTTTGTTGAACCTTGAAATATAAAACTAGGATTGATCACTTGGTAGTTTGCCCACGATTGCGTTTTGAATACTGTTAAACCTATAATAAATACAGGATGTCCGGAAATTCACTGACCAAAAAGCAAATTGAATATCTTCATTACGGCTCGAGCAAAAGAGCCGATATTTTTGTCAATGATAGAGGCATGTTCAAAGTTTGTATGTATAAAGACATGTTTAGAAAGATCCTTTTTTATGTATTACTATTGACCTCAACAAAAGAATTTTACTTTTTCACAGATAGAGAAAAAAAACAATATATTTAACAAAAAGTCTCTCTAGGCTTGTCTTTATGAATATAAAGTTTGAACGTACCTCTATCATTGATAAAAAAACATCAGCTCGTTTGTTCGAGTCGTAATGGAGACATTCAATTTTTTTTGGCAAAATGACTTTTGCCCCACTCTGTATCTTATTTTTTTTCTCTATCTGCGAAAAAGTAAAATTCTTTTGTTGAGGTCAATAGTAATACATAAAAGAGGATCTTTCTGGGCATGTCTTTATAGATATAAACTTTAAACATGCTGCTATCATTGACAAAAATATCGGCTCGTTTGCTCGAGCTGTAATGAAGATATTCAATTTTCTTTTTGGTCAGTGCATTTGCGGACACCCTTTAGGTACTAATTTTCTTTCATATAATTCATCCCTCCATTAAATCAACTTATTCCCTACTGATACTTTCTTAATGAGAAGTGTACTCAACTCACCATTGTCTTCTTCAACCTTGCCCCATATGCGTAAACCTGTATGATTTTTCATCGAGTTTGTTAATGCAACACCAAGTGATGTTATTAAAATACCACTCACTCCACTAAATATCCATCCATCAATTTGCCGATTGTTTTCCGATTGCATTGTAAATTTCACATAAAATTTTTTCTTTTTATGTTCATTAGATATATTACATACATATCCAACGATTGATTCATTGAATAAAGATGCTCTAGCCATTATTTGTTAGATGATACAAAGGCTGAAAAAAGAATATGAAAATTACGTAAATAAATTTAAAATAGACCTCTTACCGACTTTTTGTGTTTGTTCAATATAAGGTGAAAAACGATACGAGTAAGAGAAATAATAGACAATTGTTCGGTAAAACTTGAATCAAAATCACAGCTAGCAATTAGATGTTGAGATAATTGAAATGACAGTCATTAATTAGATATCGAGAATAGAATAGAAACGGCGCGCATAAACGACAGATAGAACGGTGTCAATTGGTATAGGTAGTTTTATTTCATACATGACCTACTTGAGAAATTCACAAACAAAACAAATCATATTAAGCACGATAAATTCTTGATGAATGACTTAATACAGCTAATATAACTAAAGATCGTCATCGACAAGTAACTGATAATTCAAGTGAAAACATGGTTCCAGTGAATCAGGTTTATGTGATGAAAAAGATTTCTAGAATTGTCTTTTTTTTCTTAAAGAAAATTTTTCTCATTAAAATTTGAATTTTTTATAAATAGCTGAAGTATTACGTATTTAAGCTGTAACAAGACGAAAAATTTGAGCTATACTTTGGTATTCGTTGTTTTGGTCAATAAAGTTGACATTAAATACGATATTTTGGATTGCTTGCCATCAAGATCAAGAAAATCTGTATACTTTATATGACACAATTTATTTACTTCAGAGCAAGTTATCTACTGAAAAAGTTTCTGGACTTTTTTCTCGCTGGTGTAAACAAACATTTACCCTTTGTTTCATCGGTAGTCATTAACTTTTATGTGATTTTAAAGAAGTTAAACCTGCCCTTTTATATCAGGATATGTACGACATCTATCAGACAAGCCATCACCAGACTGCTCATGGTGGTCGAGACAAATGTCTCGAATATATTGCAGCAAATTACAGCAGGACAAATCGCTCATTATTGCAAATATTCATTGCACAATGCTCAGCATGTCAAACTCAAAAAACAGTTTATCTATATTATATCAACATTATTAAATTTTTTCCATATCCCCAAACCCCTTGCTCGAATTGGTTACAATACATGCTAATGATTTCTATGAAATTCAAAATAATATTTACAAAAAAAAGGAAAACTTCGAAAATCTATACAAACTCTCTAAACAGCTTCTTATTGAATTTATCAATTAGTGAGAAGCGAACTGTCATCGACCAATATCTGGATGCCATATGATGTCCGAAAATTTTTAGATAATCCTTTTTATATATAAAACCAGATAAAATAGATTTTGAATCATGCTAAAGTCATTTTCTTAATCAATCATTCTACCATAATACTCAATTAATTGATCAATAAAAACAAAATGATATAAAACGGAAAAACTTAGAAGAAAACGGTGCAAACACATTTTAGACACTGCTGATAAGAAAGCTTACCAATCATTCAAATTCAATCAAGCAACCACTGTTCCTCTGATGAAAAATACAAACAAATTCATTGAACTAAAACAAGACTACGTAATAAAACTTCACCAAACATCCGAAATCGCTACGTCCTCACCATCGAAGAAAATACAAACTTTTTGTAAATGAAAAAAAATCTAACCAATGATCAATGTTCCCACGTCTCCATCATCGAAAAAAATAGATAGTTTTTGTAAACAAGAAAAATGAATTCGATGAAAAAAAATTCTAACCAATCGTCAATGTCCCCATGTCCCCATCATTCATTGTAAAAAAAAGGCACTTT